GTAGTAAGACGATCGAAATTTGATCGTGGCGCCATCTAAGACAAGGATTCAACACTAAACAGCAATGTTTGCTGTATTAGTGATGCCATCTAATTGGCCGACCAAAAATCAGTTCGTTGGGAAAACCCAAAATAGGAAAAAAAGATTTCTCCTTATTACACACTGATTAGAAAATTTTTCCATCCATAGACGCGTTTCGACCTATATCAGGTCTCATCAGTATGGCTAGGAAAAGCAAAGAAAACCAATCCAATTTTTGTGCATCTAATGCAAAATAGAAGTAGTTTTTTTTTTTCGGCCAATTAGATGGCATCACTAATACAGCAAAAATTGCTGTTTAGTGTTGAATCCTTGTCTTAGATGGCGCCACGATCAAATTTCGACCGTCTTACTACTTTTATTTTGCATAGATGCACAAAAATTGGATTGGTTTTCTTTGCTTTTCCTAGCCATACTGATGAGACCTGATATAGGTCGAAACGCGTCTATGGATGGAAAAGCAAAGAAAATTAATCCAAAATTTTCTAATCAGTGTGTAATAAGGAGAACTCTTTTTTTCCGAACTGATTTATATAGATATAGATAATAGAAACAAGTTATCTTAGTTTATAGTCTACGACAAGCCCAAGATTTTTGGCAGAGTCTTTAAAATTAATTGAGCTGCCGTTGATTTTAATGTCCAGACTGTCTAAAATATTTTCCCTGTGTTTATCGCTACAGAAAAGGATAGCAATTGATTTACTTGGATTTATTTTCAAAAGTAGTTTTTGAGTTTCACCATATAGGTAACTTAGATCTGCATTTAGACATTGGTTAGCATACCTAGACCATATTTTTTTTATTAAATGATAAGTACAGTTAGGTATCATCGGCGTAGTTGTGGTGCTGGCAGTGTTTTAAATTTTTTGTTATTTGCGAAGTGTACAAGGTATATGTATAGTAACGGACCCAAAATGCTACCCTGAGGAACTCCAGAGACAATCTCTAGGGCATCTGACACACATCCATTTAAGGTAACACGCTGTTTTCGCCCAGTCAGATACGAGGAAATAAAGGTAAAAAGTAATTAGACCATTTTAATCGATTTGAGTCGAGGACCCATCGACTTTTCTCATTGGTACTAAAAAAAAACCGCCATTTTTTCAAAATGGCGGTCAATTTTTTAATTTCAATTTTTATTCTGGGTAGATAAGCATGAATATACTCTAGTCTATATATTTCGGGGACGCAGAATACTAAAAAAATAGTTTTAGACCGCTGTGACCTTTGGATGGCCTGAAAAAAGTCAATTAAGGTCAAAAAATTAAATTTTTGAAAATAGCTGCCTATAAGTTTTAAAGTTAAAGTTTGTCTTAGCAATGCAGGCATGAATATAGTCTATTTATTGTACCTATATAATTTGAGGAAGAGCATTTCAAAAAATATAGTTTTAGACCGATATGACGTTAATTGACCGTGAAAAATATCAATAAATATATTTTATTCACAACCACATACCTATGACATTTCTGACTTTTCAAAAGTTTGAAAGTGAAACTTTTCTGAATTCCACTTTCCTCCCGGGTGGAAAATCCTCACTTTCCACCCGGGTGGAAAGTAACTCCCCATTTCCTTAAATAGGAAAGACAAGTCCTGCATATCAAACTTTTTTTAGATAAGTCAGAACTTGTCAACAGAATTTTTTAATTTTTATTCAGTATTTAGTCACAAATTGTGATGGTTGTAATTGTAAATAAAATAGTATACAAACCTCGGTAGGAAGCTTCACTCCTGTCACGGTTTCACTGTTCAAAGATTAGGGACTTGATAACAGATTTTATCATAGTTAGTCACAATCCATGAATCCAAAATATTTTTTGTTTTTGTATAATTTTAAGTCTTCTTTCTTAGTTGAGCTGGAAGAATGTTGTAAATTTTTGGCAAGATGTATGAGATATGTCTTTGTGCGGATGAAAACAAAGTATTAGGCAAATTTATATCATTACTAATCTTTGCCTTTGTCCCTATTTCATGGTGATTTATATAATTAACGTATTTTTTATTTCTAAAACTAGATTTTGTAATACTTTTTATATACAGTTGCCTCAAATTTAATAACTTCCCTTCCTCAAATACAATATTTGTAGAGCAAAGTTTGCTTTTGAATAACATAATCTTTATTATGTATCTCTGTGTTACAAATAAAGATTTAAGCACACTATTTGCAAGAAGCACCCCAAGCTGTTATGCCATATGTTGAGATGGATTCTACAAAAGCTCGGAAGAACATTTTAATCATGTTTGAAGGTAAAATCTGTCTTAATTCGTAGAATTTATAAAGAAATTTCCTCAATTTTTTGTCTATATATTGAGTGTGATGTTTCCAAGTCATGCATTGATCAAATATAACTTCCAGATAATATGATCTTTTCTTTTCACCTGTACGCAATTACATTTCGAATTTCTGGTGCAATCAAAGTCATGAAGTTTTATGGTTTCTTTTAGAGGTACCTAGACCTTTTTCCACAGTGTCGAATGCCTTCGACAGATTAAAACTAGTTACTATAAATTCAGTGACCTCGTTAATGGCATCTTCTGTACTGCATCCTTTTCGAAATCCAAACTGATTTTCTGGTAGAAGGTTTTCAGCTGTCAAGAAGTTACAAAGTTTTAATTTGATGCATTTCTCAACCAGCTTACTGAGCGTACTTGTAATTGCTACAGGCTTATAGTTGACTATGGATTTCAGCTTCAGACAGTTATTGCTGGGAACTAAATTTTTTACTAAAACAGTTAACATTCATCAACATCCGATCATTCTTTTGATTAAGGCCATCAAAATACATTACATGACCACTGCAAACTATCGCACAAGAAAAGACATTCCCTACCTAGTTCAGGCTTTCAAGTATTTCTTCCCTTACAGAAACAAAACAGAAAAAAAATCGACATACTGCTATGCTATAACACTAAATATAAAACTCAAATAAGAAACATCGCTACCACCAATGTGAATATTGGTAAAAGAGAACACGCTGCTCTGCAAAAATAAAATTCATGGCTAACACGGAAAAGTTTAGAAAAGATTTCACATTCATTTCAACCGATGGATCAAAAAAGGAACCTAAAGCTGGTTTTGGGCGTACACTCTGTCCTTGCTTGAAATACAACTTCAGCTGCAGAGGGCCAGATGGATTCGACATCTGCTCAGCAGAAATAGTAGTCATCCACGAAGCCATTATCTTCATAGCTTAGAGAAGCATCAAAAAAGCAATTATTTTCACCGATTCTAAAAGTGCAAGACATTCTCAACCAAAGTTCTATGAACCCAGACATGGATAGTTTAGTATTGAGAGCCAAATCGCTACTAATCGCAACATATGCGGCAGGCTATGACATCAAATTGGCATGGATGATACGCAGTCACGTTGGAATCCCTGGAAATGAAGCAGTCGACAAGTTGGCATATATTGGTAGAAAACTCAGTGTCCCAAAAAACTTACTTCTAAACAAAAATAACATATACTGGCTGCTATCAAAGAAAAGATTTCAAAAGAGCACGAATCAGCTTGGAAAGACTCACTCCAGGGTCCTTATTCTTGAAACAGGAGAGCAGCGATCCAAGGAGAAAGAGGGTTCCGTCTTTCTCAATGATATGCAAATGATAATATAGGTAACAGAGACGGAACACTCGTTCTCCTGGGATCGCTACTCCCCTTTTTCAAGAATAAGGACCCAGACATAAAGGCAGGTGGTATGCCTAGTTGCAAGACAGCTTACCCAGATAAACTTTGCCCAGATCAACATGGTTCAAAAAATACCCAATAGATAGACGACATATAACAACAATAACAAGAATGCGAACCGGACACTTTCTCTCCAGTGAATGTGGCCAAATTGAAGACCTGAACCATATTTTTTTTGTATGTCCAATCAACAAATTAGACAACGTTGATATGTATTGGATGGAAGACATTTAATATCATGGAACGATCAGAACAACGCTCGATGAAATAACATTATAACACACAATCAGTCATTATCACAAGCAGTGAAATAAATCAATAAAAAGAAAATATTTACATCCCAAAATCCCATTCCAGAAAAAAAAAATCCCAACCTGTGTTGTATCTTCCTTTTGTGTATTTACAACCTCAACTCATAGGTAAAAAGAAGAAAACTGAAAGAGAAGAAAAACCTGAAAGAAATTAGAATGAAAAATGGTACCTGGAGCATGGCCTAGAGCCAGGATAATTCTCCAGATACCTACTCACAAATGTGCTAGCAAATTGCCCTTCGTGGAGCAGAGCCTAATACCAGATAAGGAGAGAAGAACAAGTAGGTATGTCATAAAAATTGAAGCTGAACTGTCTGTCAATTTCCCCTTATTTGCATGGTCCATCAACCCCCATAAATCTGATATGGCATAACCAGAAAATTCTCAGAGTTACTGCTATCTTGACATTTTGGCGAAACTAAACTATCATTTTTATCCTCTACGGCGTTTTTGTTAAGGCGTGTATCTATAAACTTCGGCAACGCCAGATGTCGACACTGTGTCCACTAGAAAATATTTCTACATTCAGAAAACGTACAAAATCGCGAATTGGTGAAATTGTCTGATGGAACGTTGCACCGTTGGCCATCAGATAGCGCTCGTTGATCAATGTATATGTAGTTTTTGAGCAATTTAGGAAAAAATACCTTTTGAGTCACTAGAGAGCCCTAGAACGGTCGCTAGATTTTCTCACAAAAGGACAACTGGATTCATTGCGACTATGCTCAATTTGTAGCTTGTAGCTCATTAGAAGGTCAATTCACTCTAAAAGTTTTATACTTGCAGTACTATAGGTACCAACTTGAGAAATATGGAAATAAATACCTACCTTGGAAGTAAAACAAAATTGTATTTTTTCTCACTGATTATATTTCTGATTGCACAATAGTATTCTTTTTTTTTTCAAGTTTAAAATAAATTAAAAACAAATCTAGAAAATACTGATTCTTTAGGCCTTAAAACACGAAATCGAGATCAACTATTTATTTTATTCTTTCTATTTAAGTTACTTGTTACTTTATTATCTGAAAATCGTTTTTTCTATTTTCCTTTATTCTACTTACCAACATAGCTACAGGATGGTTGAAACTATACAATTTTATCACTTTTACTTAAACTGGTTAAGATTTTTACTTCAGCCTAATACTTAGGACTTTTAAACTTACAGTTTCAGTTATTCAAGTAATTAAGGTTTTTTGATCATATTGAATTTAAGTTCAAAAAAATAGCCAGTAATAAATATTATAGGCCTTATATACTTGAATGACTTCATAAATCCCAGAAAAAACCTGTGCTATGTAAGTAAGGTTTGTTCCAACAAGAATCAGAAATATATGAAATTAGGCGGAATTCGACTGATTTCTAAATTTTGTTCTGATTGGAGCAAATTATCTATTCACCTTAAGCTAGAAATTTAATCCTAACGATCACTGAACAAATTTACACCGTTACATACTAAACAGATATGTACACGAGTTAAAAAATTACGAAAGATATTAGTTTCGATGACCATATATATTTTTGGCACAATCTAAAAAAATGTCAAGTTTATTTATTTCTTCCAAGTATTACACACACAATCATTTAAATTCGTCAAAATTATTGTTATTTGGTCAATAAATCTAAGGGATCTATTTACAATATTTTCTTTAATGAGTAGATAAACTTATTATTTACAATTTTTAACTAAAACGTGATATGGAATGCTTGCACTTTAAAAATTGCCCTAAACAAATAACTCAAACACTTTTCGAGTAATTTGTATAGTAGGTATCTATGCTGCCAAATTTAGGCCATTATGTAAATTGTAAAATATTGAAAATTTCTAACTTTTAATATTGTACAAAAGTTATTTTTCCAGCTCAAAACTCATTTTGAATATTCCTCAAATCTACGAAATATTCACATCATTTAAAAGATGGATTTTCTGCAATGTATATTATAGAGTAAGAAGAAATTTCAAATGTTTAAATCGCAAAATACCCAGTTGTTGTTAAAGTACCTACTTATAAAGGTATACTTTGGTTTTCTACACTGTTTCTCAATTTCAACATACTTTTCAATTACCTACCTACCTATTTGAAAGTTTTTTAATTTAAAACCATTTTTCAAATAGTAAGCTATGTTACATTTTAAAAAGTGTTGCTAGAAAAGTGAGAAAATCAAAATCTTGAAGATTTTGTTGCACACTTGTTCTGAATTTTAAAATACTTTCAAAATTTGTTTTTGAAAGTTTTTAAATTCGAAACCACTTTTTGAAAATGTAAGGCGACATAAACTTGAAGGTGTTTTTAGTATTAAAATGTGCCTGAAACTCGACAAAATATAGTACTTATATGTAGGTAGTTATAAAATTTTGAGAATAAATTTTCTGGGGAGCAGATTTTAAAGACAACACAAGTTTATGGGATTTCATGAATCATTGCATTTAAATTTGAAAATACTTTTTAAATTTGTTTTGTTTAAAATCTTTAATATTCTAAACAAAACATGTTTAATTGGAAAATTAGAGTGTGTAAATTCCCTCCCTAATGTTATAGGCTATATTTTTTTTTTTTTTAATTTTGATTTTTTCATAGTTGAACCGCCTATTTACAAAGTTTCGATTGTGCAAATTATCAGAAAATTAATTTTCTCTATTACAATTAACAGAATTGCCATTTGATAGTAAAGTGCAAAATTGTGTGCCTTAAGGCAACTGACACAATATTTTCTTTCTGAATATTCGTATTTTGCTTTTTCTGAAGAAATATTTGAAATCAGGTCTTGAGTTTTTATAGACATTTCTTCTTAATCTGAATGAATTTCAATTTAAAATTCAACCCATTTTGACAGCACATCTACCGTTATCTAATCAAAAGGACTAAACAAATGTAATAATAAATTTAAATTGAAAATATTTGCAACAGCTCGTTTCATTTCCTGTCCCAGCTGCCGTTATACAGCCATGATGATTCGTCTCGAGTTTTTCCCCAACTAGACTCTATACCGTTTTCCTACAAAAGAAAAACGTCCAGTCAGTACCAATAAAGTACCTAATATCTGGTTTGACTTACCGCAAACTGTGAATGATTCATCCCGCTGGTGCTGAGGTAATCCATGTTAGAATAGTAGTAATTATTGTAGCAGTTCGACGAAGAGTTCGTTGTCATGATGCTGCCCTGCGATGAAGCGCACCACCTTGTCTGATCTATTGGGAAACAGTCTATTGAAGCTGGAGACCATATGCTGGAGTTTGCCGAGTTACTGTAAGTCGTTGAAGCAACCTAGACCAAAATATTAATTTGTATCTATTACATTTTCGAACAATCAATTGTTGGTTCTTAATGAGTTGACTGAGCAAGTTGAGCAAACTGATAATCATGAAATAGTCCTATCAGAAAACTAGTTTCTAGTCAATTTATATCAGTCAATGAAATCTAGTGAATAGTTACATTATCCAGTACTAGAAAACGAAATAAAGTATCTCATATTTACAACGTATGAGAATAGCTGTCCTGTAAAGCAACGGGTAGTGAAGAGGAATACGCCCCGGTGGAACAAGACACTCAGCTCCTTGAGGTCTGAGACAAGATAATTATTCAATAGGGCATATACAACAATTGCAATACAACAAAGAATTAAGAAGATCTAAAAGAGAATCCTGGAGTAGATTCTGCGAGGAGATGATCGACGTCCCTCAGATAATGCGCCTCCAGAAAATCCTAGCAAAATATCACTCGAACAATATCGGGTCCCTTCAGAGATCTGATGGAAGGATATTCACTGAAAATAAGATCAAATGGGCTATAAACAGCTTCCAGCCGTACAAATCACCAGGTGAAGATGAGATTTTTCCGGTCCTCTAACAACAAGGCCTGGAAGAACTAGCACCACATCTAGCAAAAATCAGGTCAAAGTTGTTGGTGCGTTAGTGCTGTTCGATTGGGGAAGAAGAACAGAAACGGCACCAGGTCAATAAAGGTAACTCTGCTGCACTTCAAGGATGTTCACAGTGTTTCGGTGGCAGGTCTAAATTGAAGGGTCGTAAGATCTATATCAGTGCTGATTTGACACCTAGGCAAAGGGAAACTGATAAGGAAGTGAGGAGGAACTTATAAGACGTAGAGGAGCAAGTGAGACTGACCTTATCCTAAAATATGTGCAAGGTACTCCTTCCATTATTACCAAAAAAAAAGAAAAATACATCAACCAAAAATTGTATAGTATAGTATCAAAATGTTTGAGGTCTGCGTACTAAACTTAGATCTCTTCAACATGCCGTCTTGACTTCGGACTAAGATGTTCTAGTCTTAACTGAAACTTGGCTTTCTGAGGATTTTTTGTATGCTGAGCTTGGCCTGGTGAACTATACTGTGTTTCAAAAGGACAGATCCGAGGCCACTAGTATTCATAGGAGGGGGGGAGGTGTCTTGATTGCTGTCTACAACAAGACTAAAAGTTCACAAAAAATAGTTTCTCCAGAAATTGAACAGCTGTTTGTTATGGTGGGCACCGGTGGACGAAAATGCATAGTTGGCAGTCTCTATGCACCTCCTAGATCACCAGCTGCTGTTTTTCAACGGCTGGCTGAAACCATAGACAACATTGCCACCAAGGAGCCGGGGGTGAGTGTTTCAATCTTGGGTGATTTTAATCTTCCGAGGTGACTGACGACTTCACGTCTACGGCGATTCCTGGTTTGGATACCCCAGGGCTGCAGACTAAGGCGATTGAATTGGTTTCGGGCATGTGTGCATTCCATAACCTTTATCAAAAGAACGATATCCATAATGTGCATGGCGGACTTCTGGATTTGGTGCTATCTCAGCACCTGGAGGTATCTACAGCTTTGGCCGAAGAACCACTTCTACAACCTGATGCATATCACCCACCACTTGAAGTATCAATTGTGTTTTCGACCCATTCTAACAATCCAGGTTTGCATGGTGAAGAATTCTATAGGGATCTTAATCGGGCGACTACCTTTCCTTAACGAGTTTTTATCTCACATTGACTGGGACAGATCTTTAGATTTAATTGTCAACTATTTTTATGAATATTTATATCAAGCAATTAATTTATTTGTTTCTTTAAAAAAGTATCGTCGCGTAAGTTTCCTATAGGTATGGTATTCTTCAGAATTGAAAAACTTAATTATAAGTAAAAAAAAGCGCATGTTAAGTACAAAAGATATGGCAGTCACTCAGACTACCTAGAATTTTCCAGGTTAAGAGCCTTATGTAAACAACTTTCTGGAGAGTGCTATGAAACTTATGTTCGCGAAACGGAAAATAATACTACTCATAACTCCAGGTTATTTTGGAGATTTATTAATGCTAGACGTAAGACTAATATTATTCCTTATGAGATGTCCCGTAATGGAATTAGGTGTGATAGTGGAGCTGATATAGCCAATCTCTTCGCTGAAATTTTTGCATCCACGTCCAGTCAGTGCTCAACTTATAATATTAATGTATCGAAGGTTGATCTCAAAATCTCGGAAGTTTATACCAAGTTGACCACATTGGATTGCGGTAAGGGTACTGGGCCGGATGGAATACCCCCTAGTTTACTTAGAAATTGTAGTTTTGTTCTTGCCAGGCCCCTATTTCTAATTTTCAATATCTCACTGAATACCGGCTACTTACCATTCTGTTGGAAAACCAGTTTTATAGTTCCTATTCATAAGTCTGGCCACAGATCAGAAGTAAAAAACTACAGACCTCTTAGTGTCTTGAATACAATACCCAAATTGTTGGAGATCATTATAACCGAGCATCTGACTGAATCTCTTGGTGGTTTGATCATGGATCAAGAATTCGGGTTTCAGTCTGGAGGGTCCACCAAAATTAACCTGCTTGCGTATGTTGACTTTCTGTCGGAGACCTTGGAGAATGGCGGTGAGGTGCAATCTGTCTACACTGACTTTTCCAAGGCTTTTGACAGGATCAATCATGGGGTTCTATTGTTTGAACTTGAGACGGCGGGCATCAGCGGAACCTTGTTGAAGTGGTTTGGAAGTTATCTACAAGATCGGTGTCAGATCGTTACTGTTCGTAACTTTAATTCCAATGTCATCAAGGTCACATCAGGTGTACCACAAGGGTCACACGTGGACCCATTACTTTTCAACTTATTCATTAACGATAATCAGAACTGCTTTAAATTTTCGAAATTTCTTTTATTTGCTGATGATCTTAAGATATTTCAAAGAGTTGGCTCTCATCATGATTGTGAACTCATTCAGTCAGATTTGAACAACCTTGTGAGATGGTATGAGCAGAATGGCATGGCGCTCAACACCTCCAAGTTTCATTTGATGTAATCTTCGAGGATTCGAGACCCTTTGCTTTTTGGATCATGTGTACACTCTACTGGATCCGGGCATTTTGTTTGATCGGCACTCACATTTATGCCGCACATAACATCATTAAAATCCAAAGCACTTAAGATGCTGGGATTTTTGAAGCGATCTTTGATTGACTTTCAAAATGTATCTGCTCTAAAGTCACTATATTGCTCATTCGTGAGATCCCACCTAGAGTATGTATCCTCAGTCTGGAATCCTTTTTATGTAACTCATGACTTAAAGCTTTTGTTTAATGTTTTGCACCATATTTATCACTGTCCAGATTTATTATCAAGAATAAATAATCTTGTTCCACCCAGGACCACACGCTCCAATGTTACATTTCATCAACCCTTTAACCGTGCAAATTATGACTTCAATTTATTTTTGCCTAGGTCTAGCAGATTGGCTAATTTTTACTCAAATGAGTTGGAGTTTTTATAGGGATTTGAAGGCAACTGTGATCTGAATGTGAAATAATTATAGCTTGTAGATTATGCTTTATCATCTATTGTTTGATGTATATTGTAATAGTTAATAATGTTAAATTTTTATTGTATTGTACATGTGATATATATTTCATATATTTTTTTTTAAATTAGTATTATATTATTGTATGTATTCGTTTATCAGTTTATCAATTATCTATTGTGAAAAATGGGCTTTGCTCGTCAATAAATAAACTAAATTAAATTAAAATGTTCAAAGCTATTGGTTGTGGTACTAGGCTACATTCCCACCAGTTGGCGGGATGTGAATGTGGTCTCCATTCCAAAGGCTGGTAGGCGTCCTACACAACAGCCTAAGTCATTCAGACCAATTAGCCTAACCTCCTTTCTCCTGAAAATCATGGAGAAAATCATTGACGTTCACATCAGGAGTGAATTTCTAACGGAAAGCCCGCTCCAAAAGAATCAATTTGCCTATCAGCCAGGTAAATCAACTGAGACAGCCCTACACAGTCTTGTCACTAAGATTGAAAAGGCACACCTAATCAAGAAACCGCTCTATGTGCATTCATTGATATAGAGGGAGCCTTCGATAACACCTCACATGAAGCATAATAAGAGCGGCTAGAAATAAGGGCCTTGGTGAAACTACAATTGCATGGATTGAAGCCATGCTCCAGAATAGGAAAATCAAAGCAACCATTGGACTCTGCAACGGTCTCAGCAATCAAGGGATGCCCCCAAATGGGATATTGTTCCACTGTTGTGGTCACTGGTAGTAGATGAACTTCTCAACGCGCTAAGCGCCCAAGGGATCACAGTCCCAGGATATGCTGACGACCTCACAGTTATCATTAGGGTTAAGCATGATAGGATCATTAGTGATCTCATGCAAAATGCCCTGAATGTCATTATCAGATGGTGTTTACAGGAGGGGTTCAAGCGTCAACCCTAACAAAACCATAATTGTACCTTTTACAAGGAAAAGGAGGCTAAATCTAACAGCCCCAACCTTAAATGGGATACAAATCAATTTCGCAAGTGAGGTCAAATACCTGGGAGTCACCTTGGATCAGAAACTCACTTGGGGAATAAAGACAAAAATGATCTATTGGTTATTTACAATGGTTATTGGTTACCTATAAGACCCATGGTCACCTACGCTGCAATAGTGTGGTGGCCAAAAATAAAACAACAGACAGCGCAAAACGGATTGGCAACTGTACAAAGGTATGCAAGTCTTGGAATTACAGGAGCAATGTCCAACCGCCGCAATGGAGGTCATGTTGGGCTTCCCCTCACTAGATATAATAGTGAAAAAAGAGGCCTACATAGGAGCCTCAAGAATAGCACAATCCCTAAAACTAAAGAAAGGGGACTTTGTCGGCCACATGTGCATTATGAAAGAATGCCTAAACAGAGTATGGGACTGCAGCAGAGTTATACGGCCCACTTTGTAGGACAGCCCTAGGAGAAAGCCCAACCATATTTCAAGCGGAAATATTCGCAATAGAACTTTGCGCTAGTAAGTGTGTCGAAAGAGACCTGTGAAGAGCGAAGATCTACATCAATTCCGACAGTCAGGTAGCACTAAGAGCTCTGTCACAAAGTCCAGACTCGTATGGGGTTGTCAACAACTCCTAAAGCAGCTAGTGTCCAGAAATAGGGTCACCCTGTCATGGGTACCAAGGCACCAAGCAATCGAGAATGAAATTGCGGACCGACTTGCAAGACAAGGAGCTGCAACACCATTCCTTGAACCAGCACCTTTCTTTGGCATTACGAAAAGCGAAAAGCCATATAATAGGGAAAGTCCAAAATTGGATAAAGGCTCAAAAAGCTTCCCGCTGGAATACGCTTCCAGGACTAAGGCAGGCGAAACAAATCATCTCGCCTCAGTCAATAAAGGCAAAGGAACTGATTGACCTTAGTACAGCAGATTTAAGGCTGTTAACGGGCCTTCTTACGGGTCACTGCCCTCTGGGTTATCATCCGAAAAAAATGGGCAAAACAGAATCAGACCAATGTCGCTTCTGTGAAGAAGACTCTGAGTCTGCGGAACACATACTTTGCAATTGCGAGGCATTGTGCCGCAGAAGAATCATTCATCTGGAACAGCCAGAAGGTTGCGGATGTGAGGAATGCTAATCCCAGGAGCATTATCGGCTTTGCCAAAAGCCTTAATCTGGGAATCTACTAGATATAAGGGGAAGCACAATAGATCTAAGCAGGCCGCAGTGCGAAGAGGTCCATAACCTAAACACCCCACCATAACAATCTACAATCTACAATTTTGATGATTGAATCCTGGAATAGATGTTGTAATATTGTTGTTCAAATGATTGGTGGATGTGAGGATAAGATTATTTTTAGTTTTGAATTTTTAACTTGACCAACTCAATGCTGGAAATACTCCAAATCCAAGCTATTCTTACCGTAGGTGAGCTAGTACTGCCACACGTGACTAGAAGTTGAGGCTTAACATAATTGGGACTGTCCCTAAGATGCGGCGCTGTGTGGACTGAGGGCGAACTTGCAGAGGAACTGAAAGAAAAAAAAAATCTTTATTGTTTGTGCTTTTCTTTTTTTTTTTGAGTTTTGTCTTACCTTGTACTCGTATTATTATTATTATTACTACTAACAGATACGGGTGGGGTGGTTGGCGCCGATTTCGTTATAATGGTAGACGCTGAATTTTTCGTTTTTATCCTTGCATTTCCAGACCCGGCCCCTGTGGCCGATTTCTCCGAGTTTTGAGATTGATTGTGCTGCGTGACTTGTTTTTGTTGTTGTCGGCATTTCGCTCTCCTGTTCTTAAACCACACCTGAAAATCGATTACAAAATTTTAAAATGTTTCATATTTGAATTATTAAAATGCAATTCATCATTGTCAGATGCAATTATAACAATTAATCTTTTACTACGTGTCCTATAAAGCCAACCAAAAAAAAACTTTTTTTGTATTGCATCCTGTATTCACCCTTTTATCTAGGACTGAGAAACTCCCTGACATATCGAACGTGTGTCAACAATAAAAACATTTAAAAAGTCGAACACAATCGAAATGCATAATAATAAATCAGTGCGAAAAGAAAGGAAAGGGCAGCGTTTACGAAACTATTAATTTTATCCGGCCGTCACTCTGCTGGGTTGTCGTCTTATTAGCCTCCCAGTGTTATGCCCAGGCACGTTTCGCCCACAAGCTATTGTGGCCTCTTTATATATCCGAGTATCAGACACCCTTGTGTGAGTATAAATGTATAAATTCGCACCCGTAGGCAACCGACTTGACTTGGTGAACTCCCCAACTGCCAATTATCTAATTTGTCGGGTGTAATTTATGAAATATGGGACCCCCTATATAACTTATCTACCTATGTCATTATTGAATTAAATCTTTGATTGATTTTTTGTTTGTTTTCCATCAAGCTTCTCGCTGCACCTATTTGTGAGAATAGTTTTTATATGTAGTACTAATACGGCTTTTTAATGTATAGGTATTCGCAATGCAACATTGACAACACGTTAATATGACCGGCATGAAAATAGGTTCCTTGTCGTTATCTGCTTTCAAAATTTGGAGCGACATAAGGGTAATTTGCCGACGTTGGCCTAACTTCGGGTCCCAACTTAAATATGACAGTAACCTTTGGGCGTCGCTGCAACCTGCCCAGACAAGTTTGATTTTTGTCATATTGATTATCATTGTATTTTACTGTTGAATTTAATAAAAAAAATTCAAAAACAAATATTGTTGTAGTTAATCCATACTTTTTGGCGCAGTCTGTAGGATCATGAACATGGAATAAATGACATAAAATCTCTAAACTTTCCTAAAGAATCAATAAGGATTCCTATCAAGAGTCAGCAAGATTTTTTGGGTCAGTTTCCATCAAATTTCCAAAATTTAACTCAAAATCAAGTCAAACCAAATGAGGAGTTTCGGATGGAAACCCTGGGTAATAGTATCACAGAATAGGGTACTTGCATGGAAAATTAAATTGATTATTGTTCATTGCAAACTGTGGGAAATCGAAAAAAAATAGTTACTTTTTTTTAAATTTCACCCAAATATAATTATTCCGGAAGTTATACAAATATTAAGTTTTTTATATATAGATATACTGAGCATGTGCGACGTCACACCTCACAACGTATTATACCTAAGTAATGACGTCGGAAAGACATTTCAAAGCGTTGTATCTCCGTCAATTTTTGACTAACAAGAAAAAGAAAAAATACGTGTTGACTTATTTTTCATGGACTATCGAAATCAGCAATAAAAAAATTTGATGCAAGGGGCCTATTGCATTAGGATCACGAAACAGGGAGCACTTTTGATGTATTATTCAAAAGATATCAAAGCCTTTCCACAGAAGATGCAAAAAATATTCCAGACCCCGCAAAAGTAAGAGTTCTCCTAAGAAAATTAGAGTCACAAATTCATGAAAGGTATGTCAATTTCATTTTGCTTAAGGAGATCAAAGATTTAACCTTTAGTGAAACTGTGGACAAACGACAAACTAACCCAGTTGTTTGGTAAAAAAACTACAATTTTTCACACAAGATGCCAATGCATGAAGTTGAATAAAAATTAATCCGATGATTTTATCGCATTTGCTTCACGTGTTAAAAATCAAATCACAGCAAACGAATTTAAATGTTTAATTTTTAATTGTGGCTAACAATCGAGTAAAGATAGTGAAATACGGACCAGAATTTTAAACAAATTAGATTTTAAGATTTTAATATAACAATGATCAACATACATTAGAAAGTTTAATTTCTGAACGTCAGAGGATTGAAAATATAAAAAGGACGCCCAAATGATTAAAGATCCGTCTCTCAATGTACCTAAATGCCATTTCGAACAGAAATAAAGATTTACCAAATTCAGGTTTCCAGCAAAATTTCAAGTTCAAGCCCAACAATAAACCGTTTCGACATGAGAAATATGCAAATAATTTCCAGGATGGCAATGCAGTTCCAAACAACCCTTGCAGCGAACTATATTTTGCAAAATTTTGTTCATTTAAAGAACACTTATGTCAAAGATGCCATGAAGTAGGTAATAAAGAAGGGTTTTGAGATTTCAGGAACGAAGGTAAAAGTTTTAAGACAAATTATAATACGAAAAATGCAAGATCAAATGCCATTTATGATGTAAATTATATTGGGTCATTTTCTGAAAGAAAATTTCTTCAAGTCAATATCAATAATATTCCAATCAGGTTACAAATTGATACAGCTTCAGATATCACGGTTATCTCACAAGAAACATGGACAAATATAGGAATATCAAAATGTCAGCCCACAAATCGTGATGTCATAAGCGCTTCAGGTGATAAAATCAATTCAAGAGCAGAATTTCAATGTACAATAATAAGTCTCAAACAAAAAAGTTTTCAGGGTAAATGTTTTATCACTTCAATACCTAATCTCAATTTACTGGGTATACATAGATTGGATCCGAAAATTTGGTTTATGGAACGTACCATTTAATTCAGTCTGCAATGTTGTTAAATCAAAACAATTTTCAGTCAATACTTACAGAATCATTAAAATTATAGCTTTTCCTAAAGTTTTTCAAGAAACATTAGGTCACTGTAAAAAAACCAAAGTTAATCTTCACATAAAAGAAGATGCAGTTCCTATTTTCGAAGCAAAAAGACCAGTAACTTATTCAGTCATGGATAGTTGACCAAGAACTTCAAAGGTTGCAAGAAAAAAAATATCATATCATTAGTTGAATATTCTGATCGGGCAGGTCCGATTGTAGTTACAAAGAAACACGGTGATGTCAGATTATGTGGCGATTACTCTACTGGTCTCAATGAAGCACTTCTACCACATCATTACCCACTTCCAACAGTCGAAGAAATTTTTTCAAAGTAAAAAAATGCTATAATTTTTATTATCATTGGCCTTTCTGATGCTTTTCTTCAAATTGAAATCAGTGAAGAATCAAGAAAATATTTAACAATAAACACTCATCATGGATGGATAGAATGCCATTTGGTATAAAAGTTGCCCCAGCCATTTTTCAACAAGTTATGAATACCATGTTACGAGGTGAAAGGAACCATGGCATATATCGATGACATTTTAGTATCAGGCCAATCGGAGGAAGAACATTTTCAAAATTTAAATCTTCTCCTAAGGCATCTAGAAGAGTTTGGTTTTCACTTAAAATTACAAAAATGTAAATTTGGATACAAAGAAATTAAGCATTTGGGATATATTGCATTGAAATGAAGGTGAGTTGAAACCAGATCCAGCAAAAACTGGAGCTATCAGAAATCTACCACCGCCCCATGATATCATTACTCTACGTTCCTATCTTGGAGCAATAAAGCTATTATGGTAAATTTATCAAAGAAATACACGTGTTACGTCAATCACTAAACGAATTATTGAAAAAAGGCATCAAATTTTTATGGACAACAGAATGTAAAGAATCGTTTGAAAAATTTTAATAAAATTTGAAGTCGGATCTGAGTCTAACCAACTACAACCCAGTTCACGAAATCATTGTATGTGTACTGTATTTTACACAGATTTAGAACCTTTATGGCACGCATTAGCTCTCAAAGCATATGACTTCAAGATAGAATATATTAAAACTAGCGATTTGGTCACGCAGTTATGAATTCATAACACGACTAGTGGTGTTATAGACTAGGTTATGAATCTATAACACAACTATTTTTGGTGATTTGACAAATGTCAAAGTTAAACCTGTAAAGGTAAAATGAAGGTAGACAACTACTAATAGACGCAATAGTTATTTACATTACAAGTGCGTTTATGAGCATGATTATAATAACGAGTGTGAAGGATTAGAACGACGAGGTCGTAGACGGAGTCGTTCTAATCACACGAGTTTTATAGTCATGTTTAAACGCACGTGTGATGTACAACGTTTTATCTACAAAACGAAAAATAAGAATATTTTTCCAATTATTTTCGTTTGTTGTCGGTGTTTAATCAAAAATCGCTCAGACACGTCAATTTTTGTTTTTTGGGGGACACATTTTATTGGTATTTTCACCCCCTACCTGTCAACCCCTAAGTTGGGGTAACAGGTACCCCCAAAATTTCAAATGAAAAAAGGGTTCGAGTGATATGTCATTTGGTAGCTATTTTCAATCAAATTACATCCCCGAAGTTTTAAGTTGCTACTATTTACCCTGCCGAAATGGCGGCATATCAAAGTTAGGAAAGATTTCGAGGGATTATTCACAGTAACAAGATTTCGGATTTAGAGCGATTTTGAGGGATTTCGGTTGATTTCGAAGGTTTTCGGGTGATTTCGAAGGATGATTTCGGAGAATCTCAGGTGATTTCTCAAATATTTCAATTTGATTTTAGACTGTTACTTATCTCATAATAGGCCAGGGCAGATAAATTTTTTCGTAACATAAAATTTAACAGCAAACTATCGATGCAGTATTGTTAAGGATCATTTATAGATGCTAAAAACCAAAAATGCAACATCTAATTACTTTTAGGGGATTTTATAAACAATATTTAGTGCAAAAATAGGGCTTTTTTTTGTTTATTTCACTGTATTTCGAAAACTAATGATCGGATGGTTTTGCTACTGTGGCAATAGTTTTAGAGCATTGAACAAGCTTTAAAATGATCCATCATACAACCCTGTAGGTCTTTTAGTTTTCGAGAAATTATTTTTTTCCCCCAAATATGGGCTCAATGAAGCCTGCCTCATCTTTTATGTATGTGTAAAAAATTAATTGTCTAGCATAAATATTAAAAAAGTTAGGAATCTTTTACCAGAGTAGCAAAACCATCCAATCCTTAGTTTTCGAAATACAGTGAAATAAACAAAAAAAAGCCCTGTTTTTGCACTAAATATTGTTTATAAAATCTCCTAAAAGTAAATAGATGTTGCATTTTTGGTTTTTAGCATCTATAAATGATCCTTAACAATATTGCATCGATAGTTTGCTGTTAAATTTTATGTTAAAATATGGCTGTTATTTCGCTAAATGCCTTGGCCTAATAAGTATATATTCGAAAGTGTATATAGTATAAACTGAAAAACGGCCGAAAACAAATTTTGGGCTAATTGCGAGGGATTTTTGGGGATGCGGAATGATTTCTGAGAGATTTCGGCGGATTTTGGAGTGATTTCGTGGATTTCGGAGGGATTTCGGGGATTTCGGTAGGATTTCGGAAAGATTTCGCGGATTTCAAACTAATTTGTGACACGATTTCGGGGAGTGATTAACCCCCCGGGAAAACTCGAACAAAAAAGATAAACCTACTAACTTTATATCATTGAAAGCAGCAAAAGCAGAGCTATTCAATCGGTAATTAATATATAGGGTGTCCCAGTGTCCCATCAAAACAATCGGACTCTGGTTAATATCTCGAATTCGGGAATAAATAGAAAAAAATTGAGAAAGCCACTGGATTCTCTAGTCACAAAACGGTTCACAATATCATAAAATTTGAGCCTCAGAGTTGATTTTTTTTGTATCTCGCTTAGAAATTAACGTTTTCTATCAAAAGTGTCCAAATTGGACAACCCTGCACATATCAAAAAACCGAAAATAACAAATAAAAATACCTATTCCAAATAAAAATATAGGACATTTATCTGATAAAAACAAAACGATAAATTGAACAATAGTGTAGCTTGGACAAATTTTCCTATAACATTTTATTGGAAAATTTTTCCATGAACTTTTATAAAAATTTTCTATGATTTAAAAAAAAAAAATTAGTAGTTTTTGAGGCACTGAGGAGGGGGCGCGCGGCCCCCGCGCCCCCCTGGATCCGCCACTGATAACCACGGAAAAGTGCTAACTTAAGACTTGAATTAGCACACATACATCGAATCGAACGCGCGAGAACGTAATTCGCATGCGCACATTTAGTGCTAATTTGGTACTTCACAAACGACGACCCGAAATGAATTATAATCACATCAGCACAGAACTAACCCAAACTAACCAAAACTAACCCAAACTAACGTCCGAAATTAGCACGAAATGTGTACTAACTTAGTACTCTAGTTTCATCGCGTCATCGGTGATAATGTTCGTTAACTTAAACACTAAGCCAGCACACAAGTGCTAGCTTTGTGCTGATGTGATACTAATTCGTTTCGGGTCGTCGTTTTTGAATTCCGTTCTCGCGTGGTCGATTCGATGTATGTGTGCTAATTCAAGTATTAAGTTAGCACTTTTCCGTGGTTATTTCGTAGTAAATACATCATTGTCAGTTTTTTAGGCGTGCCATGGATGTACTTAATTGGCACTAAATATGAGGTACTAGATTTTCAAAGATTCGACCTTATCCAACTATATAGAGTGTGCCAGCTTAATCTTAATCTGGCACGCATTACATGCATGTGTTTAAAAAATAGAGTTTTACAATTTATTTTTTTTCGTACTAAATTAGCACTAAATAGGCCCGAATTTAGTACTCTAGTTTTTCTGATGTGTTCTATTTTCGTTGTGCTAATTTAACGAACCAGAATATTCACGATTTAGAATTGTTGAAAAAGTTGTATCAGAGAATGGCAGTCAATTCACTTTCAACGAATTTAAACAATTTTGTCAGAAGAATGGTATTGGACATATTTGCACAGCAGCATATTGGCCACAGTCAAATGGTCAGGCAGGAAAGTTTGTTGACATCTTTAAAAGAGCACTTTCAAAAATTGAACGAGGGGGAAGTCATGGACAATTACAAGATATAAACATATTTTTAAGAGTGTACAGGTTTACTCCAAATCCAAATTCTCCAGATGGAAAATCTCCGGCTCAACATATGCAACAACATATGGAAAGGAGAATTCCACGATTTGTCGCTTCCTCCGAAAAATATTCAGATTAATGAAATTTTAAACAAATTTAAAGAAGATTTGATTTATGCTAAAATTTACAAAAATAACAAGTTCCGTTGGATTCCTGGAAAAACCATAGAACCAATTGGTAATGTGATGTACAACATATACTAGTGTTTTATCCAAATAATCACATCATATTAAGAAGAAGTCATACTAATAAAATTAAAAGAAGATATGTCAAAGAACCAAATCAAAGTTATTCAATCCCATTACATTTTTTAATAGAAGAGTTTAATTTGCAAGACAACGTAGAACAAAGCTCAGATCAGTGTTTAGATCAAGAAGTTATTGAAAATATACCAAATAATAACAATTCAATAGAATTCACAACAGATAATACAAATACTGAGGAAATGATCGATTGTCGAGAACATAGTTCAAATACTGTTAGTTCTAATGAAGCTGTTCTGAAGGAATCTAATTTAGATAATGAAGTTAGAAGATAGGGAAGGTTAAGAAGAAGACCTTCGTATTTAAGGGATTTTATATTTTAAAAAAAGGGAGAAATGTTAGGAAACAGTATCAGGACATACCTGAAAGTACGTTAACCAGCAAGTCAAGTTTGATGACAGATTAATCTGTGAGTTTGATTGTCAATGGCTACATTCACCAGAACCAAAACGGATTGTAAACCACAGAAACAGTTTACAAATACCAACAGAATATGTTGGGTAAACTCTTGATTCTGCTGAACGATTCAACTTTTCAATGATAGAACGTCACCTTCTGAATGACAGGTCACCACACAAAACACAGTGTTGAAAATTATAAACACTCTGAAACTATGTTCGCAAAAATGGCGACCGTTTGCAAAACATGTTTGGTTTTAACACAAATTCAACGTAGGGTTCAGCAGAACAACCGCAAACCGTTTACCAACGTTTGTATCTGGTGAACGCGGCCAATTGTATTTTACTGTTGAATTTAATAAAATCTGTTCAAAAACAAATGTCGTTGTAGTTAATCCGAACTACAACAATTTAGACAGTTTAGCAGCAACTTTTTTCGCTACAAGGCCTATTAAAACCAAATTACATGAAAAACTTTGAAACCCCTCTTAGTTTGAAAATGCTTAATAAAAGGCCTGCTATATGAATTCCCCTGAGATACTCGAAAAGCTTCTCCAAATATTTGAAAATAAACTTTTTCTATTTTGGTGTCATATCGAAGTCTTTTCGACACTAAAAGTAGTTTCGAAAAGAAACTCTTTGTGACACTCCTTTTTCACTTATCGGAGGTTGGTAACACTGGCTGACTGATGGCCATCGAACTGTCATTCACTATAAAAAAATAATAGAAGATTTCTATATTTGGCATGTAGTGTTACCAACCTAAACATATGAAATCAGGAAATATGAGAATAAAATTTCCAAGAAAAGTTTTTTTTCTAAATTAAACAATACCAAAATAGAAAAAATAGTATAAAATATTCGTTTCATAAGACATTTTATCGCACTCGCCCTTTAGAAAACTCGCCTCCGGCTCGTTTTCTAATATAGGGCTCGTGCGATAAAATGACGTCTTATGAAACTTGTATTTTAATGTACTATTATATAATTTAAATTTTACTAGAAAATATTAAAAATTGCTTGATAAACTTTAATGCCAAATTTCGAACTTTCAAAATTTGAACAGTTTAGAAACGCTACTTTGATTACCTACCTACATCAAAATTAATTTGAATACTTTGAAACAACAAGCTTAGGTTTTTCAATCCTCGTTACCATTAGTTCTGTAATAATTATTCTTGAGTAGTAATTGAATAAAATTTCCATGCATATAAAGGTTGATTTACCATCTCCAAATACAGATGTTCCGATGTTATATGCCCCTATTCAAAATATTTTTATTTACTCATCTTTCTTAAGTCCGTGTCCGTCGCGCCTTTGCAAACACACAAAATAATATTTTTCTATAGAAAACCCCTAGGAATGCCTTCAATCTATCCCTCTACAACATTCTCAATAGCGTTCTCATTTTCAGCATTTGTACGAATTCCTTTTGTAACATTGTCGCACGACTTGTCTATTGATTTTCGTTTAGACACAGTATAAGAATATAATACCACGAACATAGATACAGGGTGAAGGATAACATAAGTATTATTTCAACTAAAATCGATGTGTTAGAGTAGGTATACATGATTTATAGTTATTATGAATGGACAGAAACCTAAAACAATAATAATTAAGCTATGAAAAAGGAGCTTTCTTGCGTGATGAGAGTAGTATAGAAAATTTAAAAAAAAGTTACCTGTACTCTGGATTCAGGAAGATTAATTTTTAAGGCCACCTCTTCTCTCATAAATATATCTGGATATCGAGTTTTCGAAAACAGGGCTTCCAAAACGTCCAGCTGTGCTCGTGTAAAAGTTGTCCGTTCCCTTCTCTGTTTTCTTTGGTTACCTATTTCAGAAAAAAAATATTAAATAACTATATGATTACTCATTTCAATATGACGCACAAAAATCAAAAAGGTACCTACACATACCTCCAGGGTACCCCGCCATGGATGGGTGCAACGAATCGACGGGTAGACCGTGTAAACCCAACCCCGGCATGGGATACAAGGCGGATTTGTATGCCATGGTACTGCCGGAATTTCCGCCTCCAGTACTTCCAAAACAGGGGAACGATAGATCGTTGTCGGGGCTGCATCTGGAACCATTAAAATAAATTAATGCGATTCACTTTTTGAAGTTTGGCTTTAGTAGCCTATATCCCCCCTTGAGGGCTAAATAAGGGCTTTGTTAACGGCAAACAGAGGGTGGCAATCGAATAAGAAGACAACGAGGGAAGAGACTTTGAAGTTGATAAGTTTAATAATGGCCCATTAGCCAGATTGCCAGATAAAATTTGTCGTTCCGACTGATTGTTTGATACTGTCAATTAGGTTGGATTTTTTGCCGGAGTTTAAAGGGACGATGGAATAGTTTGATTAGGGCTGGATTTTACTTTTATTTTATTTTGCTACCAGTCAGATGAATGAAAATTCAATTTATTTGATGTAAATTTCAAATAATTAACATAAAAACTTCCTCGAACTTTTGGTATTCGGTCCACCCAAAGAAAAAAAAAAGATAAGATAAAATCTGTCACCAAACGCCAAAGACTCGGGGTCGTCGAAAACAACTGCACCCAAAGCATATTAGTTGTTTTGAATGCTCTTTAAGTCGCCTTAATCCGCATACCCTGACATTTCTTTTGTACCGGATTATAATAAACTGGATGGCAACACCTCGAGGAAATTTGAGCCTTATTGTCGAAGAAGCTAAGAGCGATACCGAGGACGTAACTGAACACCCGAATTTCGATGACAACCTTTTTTTTATTATTCTTGTTTTCGTTGGTTATCTATAAAGTGGGTATTTTTATCTTCACTTCTAGATGTTTTTTTTCTGCCAGGGATTTTTGATTGATTTTTTCGACAAAATACTAATATTAGTCCTCAAGAAAAATCTTGTAGAGGATTTTAAACTTCCCCTTTCTAGTTAATCAAGAAGATGCCATCAGGAAACATAGCTAGGTATATAGGATCACTGGAAATATGGAGAATTTTTTTGAAAAATCTACAACCATTCAGTGACGTGACAGAACAGATTCGCAAGATGAATTGTGAAAACCAATTTTGAGCGTCGGAATCAGAAGTCTGAATCCCATCAGGAGCATCTTGGAAAAAAAGAGACTCCAAGAATCCTAGGAAAACCCAAAAGACATTTTTTCTATTCACATTAGGCCACATGTGAAGTTTGATCAGAATTATTCAATCACTGGAAATGTACAAGGCGTCGACACAAAGCTACCACCTTCTCCTGGAAGAAAAAATGCGTCAACATAAATGGGAAGCCTCTCAACCTCTTCCAAATACATATTTTTTTTTTGCGATTTTTTAGCCCTTGAAAGGTTACTTTAGGAGCCATTAATTTGAAGTAGGTATAGCTTCAGACCTTTATCAAGTTTCTCTTTTGAGAATATCTGCAACTTTTCCTCGTTGATGCAGCTTGATATGATTTAAATTAGCTTGGAAAGAACTATGTTTCTATATTGTGCCTGAGAAATACAACCTAAAATCTCTAGAAGAGCAAAGCGTAAAGAGGTTGTACATGAAGAGATTGGATCAAAAATTACAGAGTAGTATGAATTTCCAAAACCTTGAAATGCATTACCACCATATCAAAGAGAGTATTCACTGTGCAGCATTTTTGAAGCCCTAGGCAAATACGAAAAAAATTGAAGAAGGCCCACACCTTATTAGTGGGATCAAGAAATAGAGAAAGACATAGCAGATAAAAGGAAGAAATACCAACAGCATCTAAATTCAAATAAGACACGAGACAAAGAAATATATAAAGAAGCACAAGCAAAAGTAAGGAATAAAATAATACAGAAAAAAAAACGAGTCATAGGAAAGAAACTATGCGCATAATAATACTTATCTGGGAGGTAAAAGAAACACAGAAAGTTGGAGATTACTAAAAAAACATGAAGGAAACAAAAACCAAGGATATTATCAATACAATAATACCCCAGCAATGTGAACAGTACTTTGAAAAATTACTGACAGAACAACGGGCAGAGTTTAAAGAAGAAAAGGAACAGACACGAAACATAAAAACTGCAGGATCACCAATAAGAGTTATGCCAGAAGAAGTTAAAAAACACTGTAGCTTCTTGAAAAATGGTAGGGCATCAGGCCCAGGAGAAATATATGGACAATTGATAAAGTATGGGACCAATAAACTCTACAAACATTTAACAAAACTATTTCAAACATGCACAGATAAACATCAAGTACCGGAAGAGTGGAAAATAAGCTATTTAACAACGATATATAAAAAAGGAGACAGAAACAAATGCGAGAACCACCGAGGAATTGCAGTAACAAATACGCTGAGCAGAGTGTATAATCCAGGAGGCAGTGAAATTTTTTAGCACTCATTTTTTCAGTTGGTGTACATTAAATAGTTTGTTCTCTTGGTGATACAAAACAAGAATATTTGAGTTTCGCAAAAATTTTCGGATGGATACACAAGATCAATGAAAAATACACACTTATTTTCCCAGTCATAAATATTTCACATTCACTACAGTAGAACATAAAGTATATGAAAATAACAATTTGGCTTATCTCAGATAGTGGAAAGTGAGCCTGGCTGAAATTTTTTTATTCTTCAATTTTTCAATTGCCACACGTATTATCCATACTCACAGATTAGACGGACTATTTTCTTACGTAACTTCAGTATATTTCTCATTAGTAGACCTATTTTTATCACTGGAAAAAATAAGGGCCGTGCATTGGTAAGCTCTAACACATTTTGCGCCTCAACCCATCGGAAAACCCCCCCTGAAAATATATAAATTTTTCTTAGAATTACTAACCCTACAATTCTATCCATGTTGTCTGACTGGTAAAATAAGTGCCGAAAATCGTCACTGCCTCCTGTATGGGAAACTTATAAAAGCCAAATGGAACGAGTACAAAGATAGTCAGGTAGAAGAACATGCCGGTTTTACAACAGGAAGATCAACTGAAGACCACTTATTTAGTTTGACCCAGCTAATGGAAAAGAAACTAGCGTATAAACAAAAACTCCATTTACTTTTTGTAGATCTAAAGAAATTTATGACAATGTTCCGCAGAAGAAGCTTTGGAAAGCACTGGAAAAGACCAATATCAACTTAGAACTAATAAAGGCAGTAAAAACGCTCTATAGTGATGCAAAGGGATACAGGGACGCTGCATATCACCAACACTTTTTAAAGTATACTCAGAACAAGCGCTTAAGGGATGGAAAAGAAATGCAGACACATTGGAATACCGCTCAATAAATACAATCTTTATACTTTAAGCAGATGATCAGGTAATAATTGCACAGGACTATGATGACCTAGGGTACATGAAATTGATAGAGGAATAAGAGAAATGGGGTTTAGAAGCAAATCTAACTAAAACAGAATATATGACTATAGGAGGTGAACAACGAACTCTAAAATTGAATAAGACAAGAAATAAAACAATGTACTGAATACAAATATTTGGGCATGAAAATCTCACATCTAAGGGAACCGTAGATGAAGCGATTAAAGATCGGAATATACAAGGGCGCTAGGGAATATCCCTACTAAATGGTGTACTGTGGGACCAGAATAGGGCTGTTTCCACAGAAATCACAAACCAGTCACAGCAAATTTCATTGGCTGAAAATAGTCAGGAAACTGGTTGTTGGCAATTTGGACCAATCAAAAACGCTCTGACTGGTTTGTGATTTCTGTAGAAACAGACATAATATCAACAAGACTAACAAAACTAGAATATACATCATAGTCTGGCCACTAAAGAACAGAACCACAAAAATGCTGGAATTATCTGAAATGGACTTTTAGAGGAGAGCGGCAGGCAGGTCAAAAATGGAAAAAATAACAAAACTGAGAATTAGTAAAACACACAATAGTAGATGACATAAAGGACAAACAGCTGATTTGGTTCGGACATATACAGAGAATGGCAGGTGCAAGAATACCTAAGCAAATGATTGAGTGGAAGCCAAAGGGAAGAAGAAGACGCGGCAGACCAAGAAGCTGGAGAAGTGGAGTAGACGAATAAATTACAGACAAAAGCTTAGAGGAGGATGCCTGGATTGACAGAGACGGTTGACAGAGATGGTTTATAACGTTCTATATAAACCGATAATTACCTATGCATAAGAACTATGTTTTAAATTGTATTAAATATGTATTTTTTTTTTATAATTTAAATTGCAATTCACAACTGAAAAAAATTAAAATTCAAAATAAACACCCTCTCTACAGCTTTAAAAAAATTTAATCAAAAATTTAACCGCGAGAAAAAACAACAAAGTTTCACGCCCTTCTTGGCTTGCCCTTAACGAAAACAAATCGAGGGCCAGAAAATTGCCACTAGGGACGTCTATGTGTGTGTGTGTGTGTGCTTCCATTTACCCTTGTTATCTCAAGACTACAGTAGCAATGTGGCAAGGGAGGGGCGCTGAGTGCAAACACAGATAAGGCCCTAAGTGGCCCTTTGGGCTCGAATAACGCGCCGCGAACAGGACAACTCTATTAGCACAACAGGACCGTTTGCATTCATGATATAATTCCGGAGGCTGGCTAATGGTCATTGCGCATACAGGATAATTAATTAATTTCCGGTAATTGGTATGTGTTCTACGGAATATGGTCTAACAAGGAATACAATATGGAAAGCTAAATTTGTCTCTATATGCATGTGCAATATTGTGCTATCCAAAATAATCCAAAAAAATAGCCTTCTAGAGGCAAAACAGGACATACCTAATTGTGATCTTGAACTACAATTCTTGATGACTTTTTTTGCATACGAAATTTGATTTGATTTCCATGATAGCCAAGTAAATTAAATAGGAAGCATTCTAAATCATATAGGTATTACCTCAAATGCGAAATTTCTCAAGAATTGGCCTCCTACTGGTCCTGATACAAAGTTGCCTCATTTCTGTCAAACGAGTCTACAGGTGGATTCTTTGGTCAGAGATTTTTCAAAATAAATAGAAATTACTAGACTTTACAATGTGTGAACGAAAAAAAAACATGATTGATTTGATTCTAATTGTCTGAGAATGCTGAGATTGTTCATCGAAATACTTACATAAAACATG